GCTGCTGCTTGCCCCTCTTCTTCTCCCGGGATATGTTCAGCAGGAACTTCTTCTTCAACAACTCCATTTGAGCGCCAAGTCCGTTCTCTTCTGCTGCTGCTTCCGTAGTGGAGGCCCCAGTGGACATCAGCATCAGCAGCAGCAGCAGCAGCAGCTGCTGCTGCTGCTGCTGCTGCTTCCTGCGAGTCTGCTGCCGCGGGCGGCACTTCCATCCAGGCAGACAGCAGCGAAGACGAGCCGTAGTAGGGGCTCTGCTGCTGCTGCTGCTGCTGCTGCAGCCCAGGGTAGCTGGTGGTACATTGAGCAAAGTTCAAAACTGCTGCTGCTTGGCAGCCTTGGAATATATCAATTTCAATTTGGGCACCACCAAGGGGCCCCCAGACGGAAGGTGGGGCACGCAGGGGCCCCTTGGGCTGTCGGGGGGCCCCCTGGCTGTTCGTGAAGGCTCCGGAAACCCGCAGCAGTGCAGCAGCAGCAGCTGCTGCTGCTGGCCCCTCCAGCTTTCCCATGCTGCTGGCCGCAAACTGAGAAGCAGCAGCAGTTAAGCTGTAGCCGTACAGGGGCTGCAGGTCTTGGCCTTTGCTCAGCACACCGCAGTCATCCTCATCACCCTCTTCCGCAGCAGCAGCAGCAGCAGCAGCAGCGGCAGCTGCAGCAGCAGCTGCAGCAGCGTCCCCTGGCCGGCTTGCAGCGACGCAGCGCCAAGAGGCAGCTGCGGTCGTGTTCATTTCAAGATATTTGTTTATGTTGGCAAAGGGCGACTGCAGCTGGTAGCCGCCGCCACGTGCTGCTGCTGCAGCTGCAGCAGCAGCAGCAGCAGCAGCAGCTAGAGTGGCCTCGAGACCCTCACTCTGCTGGCTTTCGTAGGGGCTTTCTCTGGTGCAATCTGCTGCAGTTTTTGAGATGATTAAATTCCTTCTTGTGTCTTCTCGGTCCCGCGCTGCTGCTGCTAAGCATGCGACTGCTCTGCTGCTGCCTTCGCCGCTGCTGCTGCAGCTGCTGTAGCTGCTGCTGCTGCTGCAGTTCGCATCTTTTCGTGGGGCGTCTAGAGCTGCGAGCTGCTGCTGGTGGCAGCCTGCAGCTTGCTGCGGGGAGTTGCTGCTGGGCAGCAGAAGCTGGCTTTCGTCAATTAAGTCTGCTGTGCTGCATGCACTTAGTGCTGCAGCAGAAGCAGCCAAAGCTGCTGCCACCTTCTGGGCCAAAGTCCCCAGCACCGAAAGTGGTCCACTGGTCACCTCCGGCTGCTCCTGGCCCTCCAGCGGCGCTGCACCGACGGGCCCCGCCACCTCCCTGAGCCCGCCCGCAGCAGCAGCAGCAGCAGCAGCAGCAGCAGCAGCAGCAGCAGGCCTTATTAGGGGTGCTTCGGCCGCTGCGGCTCCGCAGAAGTCTTCGGCTGCTTCTTTTTCCGCGTGCCTGCCCTGCTGGGCGCTGTTGCTGCCGTCTTTCCCCGCTGCAGCTGCTGCTGCTGCTGCTGCTGCCGCTGCTGCTGCTGGCTGCTGCTGCTGCAGCGCGGCCGCGGGCTCTTCCGGGCGTCTGCGCACGTACTTCTCGGGCCTCCACTGGGTACTTTCTGCTTCGCTGCAATCCAAAGAAGTCCATTCTTCTTCTTCCATTATTGTTGGACAATCATGAGGAAGTGCAAATTCAAAACCCACTTGGTGTCGAAAGGGTACAAACACCACTGGCCGCGGCAGCACAGGCGCGGGGGGCCCCTCTGGGGGCCCCTGGGGGGCCCCCCGGCCTGCGGGTTCCCTGGGCCCCGGGGGGCCCCCCGGGGCGCCCCCCTGGGGACCCCCGGGGGGCCCCCGGGGGGAGGCCCCCGCCTGGGGAGGCGCGGGGGCCCCCGCAGGGGCCTCTGCTGCTTCTTTTTCTTTTGCTGCTAAGTCCGATAAGACCTCGAGAGTGCTGGAGGGAGAGCCCGTGGGGGGCGTGGGGAGCTCGGAGGCCCCCAGGGGCCCCTGAACAGCAGCAGCACGAGACTGGCGCTTAACAAGGCGACACAAGGGGCCCCAAACTGCTGCTAAAGGGGGGCAGGAGGGGCCCCCCGTGCCCCCTGGCCTGAGGCAGGCGAAGGCTCGGGGGCCCCCCGAGGCCCCTGGGTGCGCAGGGCGTTCGCCTACAGCAGCAGCAGCAGCAGCTGCTGCTGCTGCTGCTGCTGCGGGGGTGGCGCTGGGAGGGGCGCCGCTGGCGCGAAAGAACAGCCGCAGCTTCGCGGCTGCCCGCGATGGCTTCCTGCTGAGGGTCGGCAAGGGCTCCATTTTGCTGCCGAGTTATTTGGATTTAAATGCGAAATTGTTTTTAATAAAACAAAAAAAGAAAGTGTTTAGATTGCTGAGAGAAAAGAAGCCCGCAGCAGGTCGAGACTGCACCGCTTGGCGTCGCCGGGCGGGCGCAGCTAGAAACCCGCGGCTTGAAGCTGTTTTAAGACACAGCAGCTGCAGCAGCAGCAGCACAAAGTTAAATATTACGAAATGGAATTAAATTAAAGATTAAAAGGCGAGAAAGGCGCAGCAGTTTGCTGCAGCTTGCGGCGACAGACCGCTGCAGCAGCAACAGCTTCGACGGGCAGCCGCGAGAGGCTCGATTCAGGCAACTGCAGCAACAGACGCGGAGAAGTTCTCCAAGTTTTCAATAAAATGCACAAAACAATCTTCTTTTCATTATCCTGCAAAAGAAAAAGCTGAAATAGCTGCTGCTGCAGCTGCTGCCGCTGCTGCTCAGCCACACCGCCAACGGCTTGCAAGACAGTGGTGACCAGCGGAAGTGGCTGGCGGGCGTGACCTCTGCAGCTCGCGGGCCCAGTTAGCCAACCAGCCATCGCCATTCTTTGAATTTGAATTTCAGTTCTTAAAAGTAATCCATTTAATGCATTTTTTCCGGATTTTAAGGGGCTTTTGCTGCAGTCTTCGCTGCTGCTGCTGCCGCCCGCCGCCCCCGCAGCACGTCGGCTGCAGGTCGCTCCGCAGAGCAGCTGCCACTCACTCCCACGCAAACCCCAAAAAGCATCTTTAGAATTCCAAATAGACTTTTCATGGGATTTCATCTTCAATCTTTTAAACATTGTTTTCTAAATAAGCGAGAAAGCCCGTCGTTTTGCCGCAGCAGACCCTGGCTTGCCACTCTGCAGCGGCTGGCTCCTGTGGGTGAGGACTTGGCCGCGGGCTACAGCCTCTTTTGACGGCTCTCCTTATTATTTTTAAGGCATTTCTTTCTTTAACTTTCCCAACTCTTTAAAATATACATTTTAAGTTCCAAATCTTCTGCCGGGCGGCGCCGCCAGCCCCTACACACCTTGTCCAGCTGCTGCGCTAGCCCGAAGAGCAGCCAACAGTGGCTCTAGGAAATGACATTTTTGAAGCTTTTTGCTGCTTCTTTTTGGCAATTCTTTGAACAAATGAAGCTTTGTGTCTGTACAGCGCAGTTTTTAAAGAAATAAGCAGCGAAAAGATAACCGGAAATCTTTTCAAATGCAAAAACGGCCTCCTCGGGCACCCTCCGTGCAGAACGCTCGTCTAGACAAGCCTAATAAGAATTAAGAATACCATTTTAATTGCTTTTTTATATCTTTTTCGTTTTTGTAACTCAAAAGACTCATTTGAGATTATTTTTAAAAGAAAAGAAACAAAGAGAGGTATGTGGCGGTGGTTGAACAGCCACTGCGCTGTGCCTTTCTGCTGCCGTGCACTGCAAGCAGCAGCGCTGCTGCTGCAGCTGCTGCTGCAGCTGCTGCTGCAGCAACTGCTGCAGCTGCTGCCTCTGCTGCTGGGATAATTCCTTTTAATAGTAGTTAATAATTGTTATTAGTAGACTGGATTCATGCGCAGACAGAGAAAACCAGGGCCTCTTCCCCACAGTATCTGTCTACGGGACACCACGGAAATAGCAGCAGCAGCAGCAGCAGCAAACTGAGCACCCCACGCGCCTCCACCGGCTGCGGCAGACTCCTACAATCTCTACCAGGAGCAGCAGCAGCAACAGCACCAACAACAGTAGTAGCAGCAGCAGCAGCAGCAGCCGGCGACCAACTATCGGCATAGTTTAAAAAGCTGCTGCTTCCCGAAATATAAAGAAGGAGAAATATAAAAATATAAATGTAAAATAAAAAAGAAATAAATAAAAATAAAAAGGAATAAATAAAAATGAAATAGGAGTTAAAGAGGGCGCGCACGGAATTGAACCATGAACCTGCCGATCTGCAGTCGGCCGCTCTACCATTGAGCTACACACCCGTTGCTGCCAACTCGCCAGCAGCAGCCTAATTTGCTGCTGCTGCTGCTGCAAAGAGATCCACTTCAATGAGGATTCACAGTACGGAAATAGGACCCCCTATGCCCTTTGCAGCCACACAAAAGCTGCTGCTGCTGCAGCAGCAGATGGCCGTAGTGGCCGGCCCAGGATCCAGAGCTCCGCTGCAGCTAGGGTTTAGGGTTTAGGGTTTTAGGGTTTAGGTCCAGCGCATTTAGTTTGTCTACTCTGTAGCTTCTTCTACCTGCAGCTTTTGCTGCAGTATACAGCGCCCCTTCAGGCGCAGCCACGCGCTGCAGCAGAGGATCCAATTGCTGCGGGCTGGCCTCTAATGTGCTGCTGCAGCAGCTGCAGCTCAGCAGCAAGACCGAATGCTGCAGCAAAAGCCTCAGTTTAGCTTTTAGCCAGACTTTTCGTGCTGCTAAGGCTGCTAGAGGGGCCTAGGTTTTGTCTTAGCCGAATCCCGAGAGGCCTCGAGCCCCACGGAGCAGCAGGGGGGCCCCTTGGCCCCCAGCCTGGCGCAGCAGCAGTTACAGGGGTATTGTAGCTTGTGAGCAGCAGCAGCAGCAGCAGCAGCAGTGAAGAGCCACCAGCAGCAAGGCCCGCCTAAGTAAGCCGCAGCCCCGCTGCGGCCCCCTGGGCGCAGCAGCAGCCCAGCAGCAGCCAGCAGCAGCAAACAGCTCCGTGCAGACTAGCAGCAGCAAGTGCAGCAGCAGGAGCCCCCCGCAGCAGCAGATCCGGCGCGGGGCGCAGCACACAGCGCGCAGAGTGCTGCGCCGCAGCTGGCTGCGGGCGGGCTCGGGTGGGCTGGGCGAGCAGCAGCAGCAGCAGCAGCAGAAGCAGCTTTGGACCCTTTTGCAGCAAATAAGAACTCGAGGGAAATCCGGAGAAGTTGAATTGAATGGATTTTGGCAAAGGCGAGACTGGCAAGGGCCGCAGTCGGCCACGAGGCGGGCTGCTGTGTGTGCAGATTCGGGAAGCGTTGTTCAAGTTTGCTGCTGCTGAGCAGCTTTTCAAGTTCCTCGGGAGTTGTGTGTTGCACTTCAAGAAATTATATTTCGAACAGAGGCCGGGAAGAAGGGGAAAAAGGGGAGAGGGAAGCCCTATCGACCTGCGGCGTTGTGGGCATACCCAAGAGGCGGCCCCATCATCGGGGGTGTGGCTGAGAGGTGTTCTTCGCGTTAAAAAAAGGTCTTTTTCTCGGGTTTCCGCTCATATTTAGTTGTTAATACGTCAAAGGCTGCAATTGATCTCTTTTTTTGCTCGAGTTTCCCCGGCTTTCCGTGCGGATTCCTGCTGCGAAGGCGGGAAACAGCACAGCTGGCTGCGCAGAGAGGCTCGCTGTAGCAGATGAGGGCCCCATGGCCCGCCGCTTTTCCGCGGAAAACGACGAGATGCCTTTGCCAGAGTTCGTCGACGAGTTAATGAGTGTGTATTGCGGCGAAGGAGGTTTATTTGAGGGTTTTTTGAGGCCAGCGACCGGCGAGGTTGGCGAGAAAGGCAGCGCAGGGCGCCCGTGAGCCGCGCTGCGCCTGTGTTGCGGCGCTGCGCGCAGCAGATACACCAATCTGCTGCTCAAAAGCCCTTCAAAAAGCTGCACATTGACAAGGCCGCGGCTTTTTGTGTTTAGCATGCGTTGATCGCGCCGTCCGGGGCTCGGAAACATGCGCCAGGCCGGATTGCAGCACCCCCGACTCGAAGCAGCAGCGCCTCTGCCGCGGAGGCTGCGTGGTTTCTGATGCCGAAGAGCTGCAGCAGCCCGAGCTTTCCGTCGCCTCTCCCCGCCGCGGCCGCAGCAGTAGCAGCAGCAGCAGCAGCAGCAGCAGCTTCCCGCCGTCTCAGCCTTCCTGGCTGACCCCGTTGCCGCGAAAATGACCTTCAAAGTTGGCGACAAAGTGGCCGTCTACGGCTACCCTGCCACTGTCAAGTTCGTGGGCACTTTCCCCCCCCCCAGGGGCCCCGGGGGGGCCCCCGGGGGCCCCCCGGGGGGCCCCCCGGGGGGCCCCCACGGCCAGCTTTCCGGGCCAGTTGTTGGAGTTGAATTCCTCAAGAGGGGCCCCGGGGACTGCGACGGTTCTTACCACTCCCGCAGGTACTTCCACTGCGCCCCGGGCAAGGGGCGCTTCGTCCGCGCCTTCTCTGTCAAGCCCTTCAGCGGTGAGCTGCTGCTGCTGCTGCTGCTGCTGCTGCTGCAGCTGCGGGGGGAGGGGCGTTCGCTGCGGGGTCAGGAGCTGCGCTACGCGCAGTTCCGGCTGCGGCCTGTGCACTGCTGCGACTTGGGGTGGCGCAGCTGCTGAGGCAGCCGCGGGACATTGCTGCTGCTGCTGCTGCTGCTGCTGCTGCTGCTTGCTTTTGCTGCAGAGGAAACCTGCGCAGCCACGCGCATTCAAACTTCTTTCCGCCGCTACAGAGCGGCGGAAACTTTTCAAGAATTGGCTGCTTTTCGTTTTTGGAATGAACTGGATCATTTCGAAGAGAAAGACGCTCTTGTTAACAACAGGCGAGTTCTGTTTTGCTGCAGCAGCGCAGCAGCAGCGCAGAAGCAGCGCAGCAGCAGCAGCGCAGCAGAAAGCTGCAAGAGTTTGTGCTTTCCTTTGCCTTCTTTGCACGACGCAGCCTCTGGGCAGCTTTTTGCTGCTGCTCTCTTTTGTGCTGCTGCTCTTTCTTTTTGCTGCTGCTCTCCATTCTTGCTGCTGCTGTCTCTTTTTGCTGCTCCTTGAATTCTAATTAAATTGGAGTTGTTTGCACTTCTTTGAATTTGTTCTCGATCGGGGGGCACCCCTCTGCAGTTCAACTTGAACCGGGCGTGAAGCTGCACTTGCTGCTGCTGCTGCTGCTGCTGCTGTTGCTGCTGCAGAGATGTGGGCACTCCCACTTTGAACACAATTAAGAAGCAAATCCACGATGAAGACTTCCTGGATGTGGGAGAAGTTCCCACAGAAAGGCCCCGAGCCAGCAGCAGCACACTGCAGGTTCCTGGTGCTGCTGCTGCTGCTGCTACTCCCGGCGGCCGCATGGCCAGGCGCCGCTCCTCCACGCGAGTCAGTCCTCATCACTGTTTTAGGGTTTAGGGTTTAGGGTTTGGGGACGCGCAGCGGCGGGCTGGGCACTGGGAACTCTATAAACACGCAGAGAGGCACTGGGAGCAAATGAAAGCGGAAACCCTAATTTGATGCACCCAGTAGTTGAGCAGCAGATGCTGCAGCAGCTGCTGCAGCAGCAGCTGCAGCAGACTGCAGCGGAGCAGCACGCTGACTGCTGCCAGAAGCAGCTGCAGCAGACGCGACCTGCTGCTGCTGCAGCTAGCGCCACGCCTCCCACTTGTTCTTGCCCAAGAGTAGTTGTTTGCCGCCCACAGCGGCGCGTCTTTTGCTGCTGCCGCCGCTGCTGCTGCTGCTGCTGCTGCTGCTGCTGCTTAGCGGGGGGGCGTTGGTGTGGTCTGCAGCGTTCGCAGCAACGCCAAAGCATCGACGCCAACACAATTGCGGAAGAAGGACTTCCCCCAGGTTACAAAGGGCCTCATTTGCGGTGGCCTATAACTCGGGAGTTTGCACTCGACCTCATCGACCACTTCCGCGACCACTCCGACGTGGGCTGCTGCCGCTGCT